GTGGTTAGAACCGGCGTAGGATTAGATTAGAGATGGTGAGTGGATACATCGTACAACTGTTGCACTTTTTAATTACTGTGTACGAAGACACTCTCCAAAAGGTAAATATCATATTATTATTCTATTCAACTACCAACATCTTGCTCTTCAACCGCTAACGTATCAACGTCTCGAATTGCGTCCACTACATGCCGAACAACATGAACTACCTGGAGAAGTCGGTTAAACAGCACCCAATCTGGTTCAGTGTCGGATAGTCTCTGCTCAGCGTCGGTTACCTCTCGTAAAGCAGCTTTTTTTTAAATTCTGGCGACAGCGTTGCTGACATCCCGAATTTTCTGTCCTTGTAATGAGACCCACAGCCAGTTCACACTTATCGATAACAAGTGCGCGCTGGTTAAGCCAGTTGTATACGTGTCTTTTCTTCGCTTTAACTTTGTCTGCTGCGAGTGAAGGATAGAAGTAGCTGATAATAGCGTGCATTTTCTCCTTCGAGATAACTGCGTCATAGAACTCGATCACATCGAGCTTATGACGAAACGAAACCGCCACTCTTTTAAACTGCTTAGGTAGCTTGCCGGTCCCTGTCGTTCGCGTCCTTCCTTGCTGCTGACCTGGAGTCCGCGCCATTACTTTTTTGGGGCTTGGAGTGCGCGACATGGCGCTTTTCTTGTAATGAATGGTCCTCCGCTGCAGCGTTCGCCTGATTTATACGCTACGTCTTAAGAGATCTCAAGTGATGAGCTGTAGCATAGTTGAATGCTGATTGGTCAAAGCACGGTATGTAGTAAGAGATCTCTCTGTAGTATGAGATCTCAAATACGGTACTGATTTTTTACCTGAGCGCAGCAGCTTTGCTGAGACAGCGTTATTTTCGCATAAGTTGTTGCAGCTGCTCCAATAAAGGTTCGTCGTCGAGCAAGTACAACGTTACAGCAAAATTGAACGGTGGCTTGCACATCCGATGAATGGAACCTGAAGCAAATCAGCCAGCCAAGTGCTGACCGAGCAATTGTCAGTCACCAGATAACAAATGCTCGCTGTATCACGCTCAAAGAACGGTAGACTACCTCTAAAAAACGAGACGTGACTCTCGGCCGACTGGTCTTCAACCTCTTCGTCGACAATCGGTGCTAGTGCTAGAAAAACCATTTCCGAGCGCTGGTCGTACTCAAAAACCGCAAAAACGGCGACGAAGTGCTACGATTGGAAGCTCCAACCATCGAGCATGACACCAAACGAGGCAGGAAGAATAACGGCGATATCCATTTCAACCTCCTTGGTCAGCAGGACCGCATACTTCAGCAGCGTCTCCGAGCAAATCGTTTTCATAGTCGTGTACTTGGCCACAGTAGGATCTTCGCAAAAGGAGAAAGGCAGGTTGCACGCCGTGACGTAGTCGGGCCAGGAGTAAATGTCTGGCTCTTCTGGCCGATGAAGTTTACGAGCGTGAGAGTGTCTTCGTACACAGTAATTAAAAAGTGCAACAGTTGTACGATGTATCCACTCACCATCTCTAATCTAATCCTACGCCGGTTCTAACCAC